ACCCCCGTCTGTTCCCTTGTGCCTGGACACTCTGCCCCCCCCCGCTCTGCGCTGCTCTCCTCCCTGCCCTGAACCCCGCCCCCTCCCGGCATCAGCTCCCGAGTCCCGCTTTCCCCCAGCCAGGAGGCAGCCGCCCCCTCCGTCGGGGTTTCCCCCGCGCGTCACTATCTACTCCAGCGTGTTTTCTTCGAGGAAAACTTGCCGGGAAGTTTAATGTTGCCGCCCTGAGCTCGTGCCCCAGGCCGCGGGCTCCCCTGCCCCTTCTCGGGGGCCGCAGTCCCGGGCCAGCCGTGCGGGAGTCAGGAGGGAATCTCACAAGTCGTCTCGCTGGGGCTCTGAATAGGGAGGGGGCGGCCGCCTGCGCCTGCCCACTCCCCTTCCAGCCCGGCCACTCGGCGTTGTGCAGGGCGAGAGGGGCTGTGGAGAGATTCTGCGCTAGCCCCCGGCAGGGATCTGCGCTGCCGCTACCAGCGCCTCTCTGCTGCGCCCATCCCCCCAGAGGCAGCTGCCTGGCTCACTGTGGTAGGAACAGGTGGGAGGAGAGTCAGGGTGGGCGCACATCGCTAGGGCAGAAAGATATTTCTTTCGCTCCAAGCGCCTGGCCCTAGCTGGCTGCTGGAGCACAGCCTTCCCAGGCAGCCGCTTGTGTTTGTATGCAACAGACAGACCTTTTCTCCATAGGAACCAGCTGGTAAGGAGGATGAGGTTTTTTTTAACACTAGTACACCATGACTTTGCCTGTACCCTGGTTTCTTATGTCAAGCTACTGGGAGAGGAAAGGGAGGAGACAAGAAGGCATGTCTTTTAAATAATACTAATTAATGCACAATAATGTTTGCTAAATTTGATAATTGAATATTTTTATTCATTTTTAAAAATTATATTTTAGTGGCCAAGCTGAAATTGCTCTGAAGTGATTCCTTAGCAACAGCTGCAGCAGTAGCAGGTTGGACCATGGCAGCAGGAGTAGCAGCAGGATGGATGCCAGTGGCCACGAATCCCATGCCGGCTGCTCCCCGGCAGGAGAGAAAGCGAAGCCAGGACTCCCTTATTGTGCTGAATGTCAGTGGTACCCAGTTCCAGACGTGGCAGGACACTTTGGAGCGTTATCCTGATACACTGCTGGGCAGCTCAGAGCGAGACTTCTTCTACCACCCAGAGACACAGCAGTACTTTTTTGATCGGGATCCTGACATCTTCCGTCACATCCTCAACTTCTATCGTACAGGGAAGCTGCACTACCCTCGACAAGAATGTATATCTGCTTATGATGAGGAGCTGGCCTTCTTTGGCATAATCCCTGAGATCATTGGTGACTGCTGCTATGAGGAGTATAAGGATCGCCGGCGTGAGAATACTGAGCGCCTTCAGGATGATGCAGATCAGGATCGTGCGGCTGAGTGTTCCCTGCCCTCCATGACAACACGGGAGAGAATGTGGCGGGCCTTTGAAAATCCACATACAAGTACGCTTGCACTGGTCTTCTACTATGTCACTGGCTTCTTCATTGCTATCTCTGTCATTGCCAATGTGGTGGAGACAGTACCCTGTGGGGTAAACCCTGGTCGCATCAAGGAACTGCCCTGTGGAGAGCGCTATGCTGTGGCTTTCTTCTGCCTGGATACTGCCTGTGTCATGATCTTCACTGTTGAGTATCTTCTGCGTCTTGTGGCAGCCCCCAACCGCTACAAGTTTGTACGCAGTGTTATGAGCATTATTGATGTAGTGGCCATCATGCCCTATTACATTGGTCTGGTGATGACAGATAATGAGGATGTTAGTGGGGCCTTTGTGACACTGCGTGTCTTCCGTGTCTTCCGGATCTTTAAGTTTTCCCGCCACTCACAGGGGCTGCGCATCCTAGGGTACACACTGAAAAGCTGTGCCTCGGAGTTGGGCTTTCTCCTCTTCTCATTAACCATGGCCATCATCATCTTCGCCACGGTCATGTTCTATGCAGAGAAAGGTTCATCGGCCAGCAAGTTCACCAGCATACCTGCTGCTTTTTGGTACACCATTGTCACTATGACAACATTGGGGTAAGTGCAGATTTGCTTTGGCCATGACCAACATTTTAACAAATTTGCTTCACAAATAAGAAATTAGAAAAAGTGGGAGTGTCAATATTTTTATGGAAACTTCATAGACATGACTGGGTTCTTTATACGTTCTATTTTAAATATAGGTAGGTATAAAAGTGTTACCATTATTTTTTTGTTTTCAAAATTATATGCAGTTTCTTTACTGTTAGCTTTTGCAATTGGGACAGTAGGAGTATTTCTTTTGTAGTCTCCATGAGGTGTCAGTGAGTCTTTAATAATGTCATCTAATGCCTAGGAGAATCCTTTACAATATTGCAAATGTAGCAGTAATTAATAAAAAAGGTCAGCTGTAAAGTTTTAATCTTACCATGTAGCTCTGCCATTTTGTTTGAACCAAAGTGATATATAGAAATTGATTTGGATAGTGCAAAGTCATTTGTATTGCAAAAGCATAAGTACAACTTTAAACTTCACAAAGACCAATCTCTAACCCCATTAAGTCACTGGAAAAATTTCCTTTGATTTGATTGGGGTCAGGATTTGGCCAAAAATGAATGACTTGTGTCAGCTACATACATTTATGAAAACCTCTATGAAGCTGACTGAGAAAGTATGACTAATGTGTGACAGATTTAATTCCAGTGTATGTGTTAAAAGTTGTTCTTGTTATAAAGTTCCTGATAATATGGAATTAAAATATACCATAGGTGACATTTAAGATCCAATGAGTTTTAGTAGTTAGCTAAGAAATTTCGGGACATCGATATCCTGATAAAATGATACTGATGTCACTATGGCTGCATATTCTATAAAGAAAGTTGTGGAAATATATTTCTCTGTAATGCTAAAAGGTTGGTTAATTTGAGGAGGCAATTTGTCATTCTATTCTTAGTCGTGATGTATAGTATCTTGTAATAACTATTATATCGAATCTGAATAGGAGTTTGTTCATTTTAAATTCTAGTTCTTTTATGACTGCATATTAAAAGACAAAACTTTTTACTGTCGCTAGGACCATCATTTCATTAATCAAACATCACATCTAGTTTACATTGTCTGGGTTTATGAAACTTGCATTTTTTAACTTTATCTAAATTAATGTATAATGAAATAGTTGATTTACTTCCTATAATCAAAATCTAGATTGGAAAATGATGTACAAAACTTTAAAAGAAGATAAAAGGGCTGTATTCTGCCATCAGTTTTTATACAGGGCTTTTACGTTTTGCACAATGGAGGAAATGATGATAAACACTGTAAGGTGGAAATATTTCATGTGTCTTCTGGTAAAGCTGTATAATGCCAAATATGTGTTACAAGCTGTCATTGGTGACAAATTAAGGTTTTGTTATATATAGTAACTTTTTATGCTATTACCATACAGTATTAATGATTACCTAAGTTATGGTAATTTCAGCAAAATCGGTCATGATCAGTTAACAACACTGAGAACATTTGCCACTGGAGAGGAAATAACAAAATCAGGAGCTGATGTGTATTGTTTTTAATAATGGATATCTCTCTTCCATAATTAAGGTAGATAGTATTTGTAGGCTGGACTTGTCCAAGGTACTGAACAGTTTATAGTGGTTAAATACTTTCATTCCACATTGTAATCGTCTATGGTTCTGATATAGGAAATTGATTGATTGGCATTGGTAGCAAAAAAAAATAAAAAGGGCATTATGTTATGGTTCCAGATCTTAAAATTATTTGAAACTATAGGTAAAATTGTTTGACGCACCTGAGTGATTTAGGAATCAAAGTCTTACTGGAAATCAGTGTTATTTCAGAGCCTGTCATTTTTGAAAATGTCACTTAGGTTCCTAAGTCACTTAGGACTAGATCTTTACATGGATTTAGATGCCTGAGGATGCAGGTAGAAATGTAGTAGGATTTTTCAAAGGGTACTTAAGTCCTTTTGGTTTCAAGAGGTCACTTAAAAGGTGCTTTGACAATCTGTAAAGAGACATTCTGGTGACAGACTTATAAATTAGAGGAAATAATTCTCATGTGTAAACTCCATGACCAGTAACAAGACCTGTGCATGCTATGTGCTACTGAAATGCAAAAGTTTCATAGACCACTGTTGCACGGAATATATGTCCCAAATATACATGTATAGGGGCTAGATTCTGTTTAGGCACTTAAATCCCAGAATCAGTCCCCACTGGGATTTACATAATCCTCACTCAGTCACTGCTGAATTCCATAGGTACCTAAACTCTGTGTAGTAAAAGTTCCATAGACATCTGTATTTCTGCCTTTGAGTGTGTATATATATTGAAGTGCCATGCTTACACCTTGTGCAATGTACAATGTGGGGGAAATTACACATTCCTCTGCCTAACTTGCCTGCAGATCCAAATCAAGTAAACATGCCCTAGCCTCACTTATCAGACTGGGCTCCAGTAGGCAAGCTTAGACACCATGGCAGGTGGGGGAGTGCCATGGGGTTTAGCCCCGTGATAAGGTACTCACCTGGGAGACTTCTGATTCATCTTCCCTCCACATGCGGGGCTGAGAAGATTTGAATAGGGATCTGCTCTCTCTCAGATGGGATAATCTAATGTGGGTTCTCTCAGAGTACATCACAGAATGGACACCCACAGCGGGCCAGAGCCAACTGAATCTGGTTCGTTGGGCTCAGTCTGTGGGGCTGATTAATTTCAGTGTACACTTCTGTGCTTGGGCTGGATCCTCGGCTTTAGAACCCTGCAAGGTAGTGGGATCTGGCCTGAAGTCTACACTGAAGCCATCTCCCAGATCCCACTACCTTGCAGGGTTCTAGCCTGAAGTCTACACTGAAGCCATCTCCAAGTTTTTAATTACAGATTAGACATACCCTTAGTCTCTATTGTTGAAACTGGTCAACTGTGGAGCAATCACTGAAAAAGTCATTGGAGCAAGAGCCTGTATCCTGGGTCTTCCACATGATTGACTCTATAGCCCAGTGGTTAGATTATTCTCATGCTTGCTTTTTTTTCCCCTCACTCTGGCTTAATGGTGCTCTCATTATTTATTTCCTCCTCTCTTCTCCCTCCTACCTGCCAGCATCTTGAAAAAATAGAATAGATGCATAAATCCAAGAGAAAGTTGAGAATACCAAGCAGAGGGAAGTACTTCCCTGCAGACTGGTCATAAGCGTCTATCTTTGAGAGAAAGAAGGCTTAGCATGCACCTCAGGTTGGTACCTCCCACCAGGCTAGTTTAGGTAGGAAGCCTCCTAGCATGATGGCTTGTGTGAATCTCCTTCTGAGGTGTGTCTCTCCATTCATTGTATAGGGAGTAGAGATGCTGAACTCAGGCTTTGCGAATTCCAGTGATTTTTCTAGGTGCGTAAAGGTTAGGCATGGTGATAATTATGCATTATCTGCATATCTATGTTCCTTCATGAATCTAGCCCTTATGCCATGTGGAGACAGCTGCATAGTCATCCTGAATTTGGCCATTAACATTTACAATAACACATAATTCTGGAGAAGTTTTAAGCAGTATGTTAACTGAATAATGTTGTCCTTTTAATAATATCTTGTTAGCTACGTAAAGATTGTGATTAAATGTTAAATAGTGATGAATAACTTCATTAGCATTAAACTTCAGAATTCTTATTAGTTTCATGGAGTAAGTGGGAAAAGGGAAAAATTACAAGGGGGGGGAAAGTAAAGGTCAATGAAAGTTGACTGTTGTTATTACTAGTAACTTGGATTAGGGATCAGATCCTGTCATCTTTACTTAGGCTATGCCCTTATTAATTTAAATTAAAGTTTGTATGAATAAGGACTGCAGATGCTGGCCATTACTGAACCTAGTTCTTCACCTCAGAACAAAAATTATATTTTAGGTGATCATTGTGCCCAACAAATGAAATTTTATAAAATTGTATGAAGGATGATACAAAATGATAAACTCACTTTGAGTTTAGAAGACGATATTGTTTTTAGCATCTGTGAGATAGCAAGGGTATAGAATGGCAACCTTACTAACTTGGGGATTTATCTTGGAAGCAGAGCTGTATTTCTCAGTTCTGCATGATTGCTAAGCAATTAAAGTGTCTTTTTAAAACATTGATTACATTTTCCTTTGTAGAATGCCAGTGACTTCAATTATTGCTACAGTTTTTAAATTGCAAGTACATCACAACTATTAACTGTCCTCATCTCCAAATACCAAAGTGGAAAGGGTTGTACATGAGGCCCCAAAGAAAAATGAAAGGAGAAATGTGGCTTTAGGAGTACAGCATAGACTATGAGAAATTTCAAAAACAGGATTTTAGTTTTTAACTATATTACTGCTCCCTGGCTCTCTAAACCATGGAGGACATTCTCACACTTTGCGCCTGCCTCTTTCTGTTTGTTTCTCCTGAATCGGTTTTATTTATAGGAAGAGGTTACAAATGAGAGAGGGGAGAGGAAACAAGCACAGATAAAACATAAAGAAGCAATAGAGAAGGGGGAGGGAAGTACAAGCTGACAATAAGCAGAGCCCTGCAAGGATACAAAATTTGTATCTGCATCTTCAAAAATGTTCCATGGATATCTGTATTCACATCCATGAATATAAAGTAGTTATCTGCAAATTAGGAGGGTTTAATCCAAAATTTGTACCGCATCTGTATCCACCAAAATGAGCTGTGGATATCCATAGATGTCCATAGATTTGTGGACTCTGACAATAAGGATCAGAGAAGCTTGTCGCCAGAAGCAAAAGGAGGCACAAAACACAAGCAACGGCAGGATAGGAATGTAGATGGAGGCAGAGCAAGTATGCAGGTCAACTGAAACTGTGGCTGACAGACTTACATGGGTGCTTATCAGACACCCACAATTATAGCGACTGCATTTTGCAACTTTCTGCTGCAATTCCCTAACTTGATGGTTTTCTTCCTGACACTGGTATAGCCAACAAATGAGCTGTGGAAGCATAGGCCATGTTTTGGTGGAATGGGATGCGTTTGTAGACCATACAACAGTATTTGTATAAATATATATCTGCTG